AAAAAAAAAAAAAAAAAAAAAAAAAAAAAAAAAAAAAAGTGTTAAAAACACAAAGCTCGTTTAACAACTCAGAATGCAAACTGCAGCAATTCTAAATTCTGACCTGATGATAAAGCAGAACAATTGGTCAGTGGTGTGGATCTGGCCTTCCCATTCCTCTCAAAGGATGCCAGGCAGGCAGAATCTGAGGATTCTCCCGAGGAACTCTGGTTGTAGGAGCCAGTGCTGGGTTTATGGCTTGTGACACAGGCGGCTCTGCTTGAGGTAGGCTGAGGAAAAGCATCTTCCTGCTCAGATTCAAGTTTGGCCTGAGACTTTAGTGGTTTCTGCTTCAGATTTCTAGTGAGAGTCAAAGTAGTAAAAGCAACAGAGTTTGTAAAACTAAGAGAGAGAAGGCAATGATGTATTTTAACAACATTTAATATGATTTTGTATTTCTGGGAGGGTTTTATGAGCTAATGTGGTGTGAGACAATTTTAACTCTGGCAAGGATAAACATAAACATTTACTAAACATTAAAAATATTTACTTTCATTAAATAACAGCCTGCAGTCCTAGGGCAGTCATACAAGAGGAGAGAATCTTTCTCAGCCCTGAGAAACAGAATTTAATGATGGATGTCCTCCAGACAATTCATGTTCTCGTATTTTCACTGCAGCCTCAATTTCTGTTGGATTCCCAGCCTCTGGTTAGATGCACATGAGCCTCCAATTAAATGCTATCCTGGCAAACATTATTCCACAATAAACTGAGTTCCCAACACACACAGAAGGTGTGAACCTTACAGTTCACAGTTTAAAATAAAGAAAACATCACTAATTTGATCCTTCCTTACTTTCACACGCCTGAGTGCTACATGCCATCTTGCTCAGTCCTTTATTTTCACCTACAAAACTGTTTTGTCAGTTTTTTCCTTACAGTGCAGGTTTTCAGACATTCATCCAGGTGCACAAGGTGTGTAATTTCTGCTATCCCAAACCTCACTTCTGCTGTGCCCCACTGAACAGTCACACACAATTCTCCAGATATAAGCACAAATGAGATTCAAAAGACAATTTCTGCCTATCCTGGTGGGTGGTTATTTTAAAGTATAAAAGTAATCCCCTTAAATTATTTTTTTTTAATTAAAATTCTTACTCCTACCCTTTCCCTGCCAGAGAATGAAGACTGGACAGCAGCAGAAGGGAAAAGCTCAGTTTCAGCGATTTACCACATTTTGTCCCATATACTAATTAAGAACAGGAGTTAATAATGTCAAACAGCAATTGTATTAAAAGCCTCCCTGCCCTCAAAAAAGAAAAGGCAAATCTGGCTCCCAACTGAATGCTACAGCAAGTGACAATTTCTAGAAATTCCACAGGACTGACTGTATTCTGTATGTAACAAAATACATAATTTATGTCAATTTTCATGTTTGTAACATAGCCAGCAAGTAAATCTTTGTTTCATTCCTCATTGTTTTAGTTAAATATTGATTTTTCTGATTCAAATATTAAAGAAAAACCCAACCTTTTCTACTCTTTTGTCTCCTTGTATTTCTCAGTTTTATACTATAAAAAAAAGCCCCTATTTTTTCAACATATTTTTGCTACTGCGTGAAAATGACTAAAAATCTCACTGGGGTTACAAATCATTTAAAATCCCAGTTGTTCCCCTCTTCACAGACTAAACGTGAGAGAGAATATGAGTAACAGTCAGGTGAGACAGATCTTTATACCTTTTATAATTTGATTACCTGAGCATTTTGGTGGGCTGCTGCACTGAGCTTTGATTATTAAATCTTCTCGTGTACCTCTGGTTTCTCCGTAGCTTTTCATTCTGTTTCTGCCCATTTTTGAAATCTGAAACAATTCTTCGGATTTTCTCTTCAAACAGTGCTGACAATCTCAAGGTCATACTGTAAATCTAGGTAAGGGAGTGGTTTCTATTAAAAACAGAGCCTTTGTTCCAAAACTAGTATTTGTAATATCAAAAACTGCACAGAAAAGCAATAGGAAAAGCACAGGCAGTCCTGTGTAACACCAAATAAACAGGAAATGAACATTTTAAGTATTTTTGTCTTATTTCTCCCCACTAGCTACCCAACCCAGCAGCTTTAGCAAAAGTACTGATAAACAAACTGCAAAATAAGATTTATTTCATTAAGACGTTCACAAACCCCCAGAAAATAACAGCTACCTTTGATTTTTTATTTGGAGTATAAGATTTTGCATTACTGAATATCAGTCTGATATCTTTGCACAGCTCCATTGGAGTGTCATAATTCCCAGCTTCCAGAGTTTCCTTCACTGTACCAAAATCCATTGGAGTGTCTATAATATGTCTGTAATCCTATAAAAAACATATGAAAAAAAGATTTATGTGAAAAGTATAAAGGAAAAAAACCCAACATTTTCCATTTTATTTCTCCCATTTAGGAGTAGCTAAAATAACACAAATGATCTTCAGCAGCAGTGGAAAGAGAAGCACCACAGCAGAAAGCAACACTTTTGCTGTGACAGTTTGATTTTAAATCTTTTTGATTATCCTACGAATTTTACTGTGAGAAACAACAAATCTGGTATAAAAAAACAGCCAAAAAAAGCCCCATAACACAACAAAAAAAAACCCCAAATCAAACCCCATCAAAACGTCTCCATATTTCTTTCTCTCCTGTTCTTGGTTTTTTAGAGAACCTCAAGGTGTTTTTAAACCCTGGACTGAGACTCAAACTCAAAATGTGGAGTCACCAGAAGAAGTTATTTGCTGTAAAGAAGAATTTTTCCTTTAGATTAAGTTCATTGGGTTTTTAGAGAAAAAAGAGATTAAGATGGTAGTAAGATTACCATGAACAACTAAAAGAGAGGGGAAAAATCAAATTCATAGCTCAAGCTCAGTAAACACATTTTAGACTTTGAAGAAACTCGTTTTAATTAAGAAAATACAGATTTTTTTTACAATAATTCCCTTACACAGTACAACAAGGCAGCAAGAAAAAAACAATCAATTAAATTATCAAGTAATTATCAAGGTTATCAAGTACAACTTACAGGATATTGATCCAAATCAACTGGCTGCCTGAAAGGTTCAGAATCCTCACACTGGAAAATTAAATTCACCAGTTCCATGCACTGCTTCTTCCAACAGTTTTCATCATAGCCACTTTTCAGGTTTTTCCCTTTTTTTAAGCCTCGTCCCTTGAGGGAAAAAAAAAAGTTAGGAAAAGCATTCTGGAATACAGCAAGAAAAAATTAATCCTGATTTGGGTTATAAGGTAAAGATTGGCCAACTCACTTTTCTTCTTCTGTATGATGTTCTAGGAACACATTTTTCATCATCCTGCACAAAATAAAATGAATTATCTTAAAAGTGATGTAGGAAAAAAATAGGTGATGGAGGCTAAAAATGTCATTAGATTTGAGACTGTGGTAAAATTAAATTTTCTTCTTAATTCTTTCAGTAAAACAAAGGATGAGCATAAAAAACAGCACAGCATCTGGGAGACTTGGAAATCAATATCCTAGATAAGGACAAGAGCTGGAGTCTGGAATCTTCAGTGGTTTGAGAAAAGGAAAAACCACCATCAGAAATTGCAATTAGAAGTTACTCACAGCTTTGAACTTCAGTGACTAAATATTACCAGTAATGCAATTCACTGACAATAAATGACATAAAACATTAATAAAAATTCTTACTATAGTCCATGTTTGTATTAGCTATGTAAATAACTCAGCAATTTTACCAACAATACTTGGTGGCTGCTGGCATTTTCTTCTCACCATAAATTACTGGAATTTTCCACAAAAAAACCCAACTTACCAGATCAGCATCATGACAATCTTGTTCATCATCTGTTGTACTACATAATTCAAAAATATTTGTACAGTCCTGGTCACTGCAATGCAATTAAATCTGTTACTGGAATAGCAAAAACAGAGCTGTTGTTTCCTAAATTAAACTCAGCCACAACCAAGTGCTCCATATAAAAGGGAAGACAGTAACTGAGTATTAAATGGAATACAAAAATCAGGATAAGGGATTTGAAAGAGGCCTGCTCAGCTGCAGGAATGCTGCCCACACTCATTTCAAAATAAACCTCTCAGTTTATTTTAACCTTTCAATTAAGTCAGACAAGCTGCAAGAGGAACTTCTACGCAGGACAGCAAAGAAGGCACATTTTACAGGCTGAGCTACTTAACATACTCAATCTCAAGTGACATTCTGAGACTGTGACACCAGGGAAAAAGGTAAAATGCTTCTAAGCTAAACATTTCAGTATTTAAGGTAACACTCAGAATTAAGACACCTGGCCTTCCAGAGTGAACTGAAAGAGTCAAAGCAGGGCTCACCACAAAGGAATACTGAGCTGTTTTTACATTCCACTGTTCCAAAGCACCAGGATTCAAGCACTATTTAGATTAAAATGCCACTTACTTGATGAACTTTAGGAGCTGGGTGGTGATTTTTTTTGCAGCTCTGGCAATAGCACTCCCAGGCTCATTGAAGGTTCTGGCATTGCTTTCAATGTATCTGACTTCCCAAACCAATGCTGAAATTCTCCTTCAAATTAGAAAATATTGCATCTTAAATACTAAAGAAAAGCTTAAAACCAGCAAAAATTGTATCTCTGTAATATTCTCTCCATATTAGATTTAAATGTCCTCTGTTTTATGCCCCCCTTAAGGCAGTCTCAAACTTTTCCTTCACATTTAAAACCCAAGGAAGCAAAACCAGCATTGCACATCTTTCACCACTCATTTCCCAACTCATTATTGCCAGTTCATCCTTAGACAGTTTGTGATATAAACTCAGTTAATTCAGCTGGCCAAGTAAGCACTAGCATTTGTTATCCATATATCATAAAATATCACTGAAATCATTCCAAGGACTGTGGATTTCCTGCAATCTTTAAAAACAAAAGCATTTTTAAAAAGCTTACATCTGACTTATTCAAAAGGAGGGGAAAGAGTATAATTTAATCACTACTCTAAATTATCACATTTCTTCTGGAAATATCAGAAGCTGCTTGTTACAAAGCCCTGAAAAATGCAACACAATTGGAGTCATATCTGAAGAACTTTTAATTAATAAATACAAAGCACAAGTAGTTAAAAAGGAGTGACAAGAGCTTTGTTCAATTACATTTTTGAAGAATGCCAGCTATGATATCCCTTTCTGTTTTCCCTTAAAGACCTTGCTTTGAGGTCAACTGTCCACTGAAAACTGTGCCCCCTGTAAAATGACAGATTTGAGCAACTGCTACAAATTGAAATTCTAACTTGATAGAAATGAGCTGCCACAAACCTGTAATTTCATTTTTACAACTCATTTTCCCAATACCTTATACCCGTGAAGCAGATACTCCAAGTCTGCAGTTCTTCACCTACAGAATTTCCAAGTATTTCCCAAAATATTTTTTCCATCTTGTACAGGAGGAAAATCACTGTTAATGTCTCTTCATTGAATTTACAGACACACTGAATACAGCTTCAGATGAAGAATACACCTGAATTTATTTTCAAGCTATGGCTGACCAGCACCATCCATCAAACTAGAGCTCTGTCATCATTACACTTTTCCTTCTATCTCTTCTATAAGTTTTTATCATTTAAAATGCTGCTGTTAATGTTTACCATTTCAACTCTTGTGTTTAAGCTCATTTCTGAAAATAGCAAGAGCTTAACTTTCTTGAAGGTCAAAGTAACTCAAGGACAGCACTTCAAAATCTGAATTGTCATCAGCACTGAGGTAACTTTGGCAAGTTTTCTAATACTTGGTGATTTCCAGTAGTGGATTTCTCAAGGAAAGGATGTCAGGGTTTATTTCAGCTCTGAAGAGTCCCCAGGTGAGCTCCCCTGCAGCACTGACCTGTAGAACCTGTTGGCCAGGCGGGTGCGGATGGTGTTGAGGTCCGTGGGGTAGGCGATCACCGTGCAGTACTTGGGGTACGTGCACAGGTCCACTGGGCCAGCAAAAGCTGCTGAGATGTCTGGTTAAAAAACAGCAATAATAGCAAAATTTAATAGTTTCACCTCATTTTGGCCTTCCAGTGCCTGAAGGAGGTGAAAGGAAAGACAGAGAAGGACAATTTCCAAGGGCTGGAGGGACAGGACACAGGGAATGGCTTCAAACTGCCAGAGGGCAGGGCTAGATGGGAGATTGGGAATTAGGAATTGTTCCCTGGCAGGGTGGGCAGGCCCTGGCACAGGGTGCCCAGAGCAGCTGTGGGTGCCCCTGGGTGCCTGGCAGTACCCAAGGCTAGGAGTGTGGAGCAGCCTGGGATAGAATGCCAGAATGGTTTGAGTTGGCAGGAACTATTTCAAAGCCTGCAGGTCCATAACAACTGAATCGGGTATTATAAAACCTATGGTGTATACATTGAGATCTCAATACGAAGAACTGCACAGAAAAACATTTGCTCATTGAAGGAATTTATCACAGGGGATTTTAAAAGGATGCCATGGATATTCCAGGGTGTTTCTAAATGCACCACCAGGAGAAAAGCAGCTGAAGCTCAGCTCACACTCACCAAGAGTCATGAGCTGATCAATCCCACGGATGATCCGTTCACAGGCCTCATCACGGGACTTCATCCCCCACTCCCCCTCCTGGGGTTTGTACAGGAGCTTCTCCACCTCTTCCAGAGTCACAGACACACTTGCTCCTAATTCTTCAGGCTGATCAACTAAAAAGAGCAAATTGCAGAAGGAGTGAGAACAAGATAAATTGTTGAGCACTCACAGTTATGAAATAATTGTATGCTTGCGACTGACAAAAAAATTCTTGCCTTGCAGTAAAGTTTAATGCTAAGGCTGTGGGGAAAAAAATTATACAAAATGAATACTAACAGCAAAACGTTTAAAATTCTGTTTTTCTGCAGTTTTGAGTTAAGTTTATTACCTTTTTGACAGCTTATTCAGTAACTACTTCCTCAGTTTCTTCCAAATGTTCCTCCCCCCTCCCAGCTGGTACTGACAAGTACTGGAAAAGTGAAATATTAAGACAAACCACAAATTCCGCTCTTTTATTTACAGATAATCTGGATTTGTTCAGCAAACTTTATAAATTGTTGGGTTTAAATTATGTGCAGCAAATGTTTGCTGATCAGAAATATTTTATTTATATTCTGCTTACACCCCCTTGTATTATAGTATACTACAACAAATTCATAGTTTGAAACCTGACCTGTTTTTTGAAACCTGCCATTTGGAAGTAGCAGGTTTTATTCCGTAAGTCAGAGCTACACATTTAAAGTATTTTCTTTTCAAAATTGCTCTGGAAGATGAAAAAGGAAAAAAAAAAGGGTATATTCAAATTACTTCACTAAATCTGAATCAGATAAAGACAAAGACTGTCTTTAAGACAGGAATCACCTCAGGTCCACACATTTCCTGCATGACACAAAGAACTGGACAAAGGGAGAAGCACATTAAGCTGTTTTATTATAGGGTTTCTACCTACCATTATCAGGGACTGGTTCCATGTCCCACGGGCTCAGCTTTTCAATTTCACCATTGTCCCATCTGATTCACCAAGTAAAAAAAAATAAAAAAATTAATAATTTAAAGTTACCTTGACTAAGAAGTGTTCCCTCCAAGCACATTTAAATTTCAGCTATAAGCACATTTAAATGACAGCTATTTGTAGGTATTGACAAAATACACTGTACAAACATGTACAGAAACAAAGGCTTTGGTCTGCAGTCAGCAAAAAGGAAACATTCTTCCTGATCAATTTCAGATTAAAATTGTGCTCCTGATTTTGGCTGCATGCAACTTACCCAATACATAAATCAATTTTAAAAAGCCTGTATCAAGAAGATGAAGAAAAATAAGCTGAACATATGGAAAAGTGAGATAAGATCAAGGGGAAGATCTGAGAAAAAACACAGGAGATTTTTTTTTGCTGACCACAACAGGAGTTGTGCAAGTCCATGGATAAGGAAGAAGAGGAAGTGAGACGTTTCATGCATTAGCACTTCAATTTATGAGGCAGAGGGCATTAAGACAAAGAAAAGAATAAATATAAAATGAAGAAACTGAAGTTAATTAAGGTCCAAGACAAAGCAATAGCAAGTGCTCTTGATAGATCTGGATATTCACTCTGATACTGAACTATGAGGTGTGGACATCATTCTGAGATCTCTCCAAATCCCACACATTTGGGTAGATCTTTACATGTTTTTAAAAATACATAAAATACCAAAGAATTTTGCTATTTCCATGGTAAGAAATGTCTGACTGGATCAGCTTCACACCTCACTGATGCAGACAGGCAGGAGCACCCTGAACAGATAGAGTGCTGGATCTTTTCTACAGCTGGGTTAATCCTTATGCTCCCATTTTTATTTTTTCCTACAAGAACATACCAGAAACAAATAGATCAAACTGCCGTTCACCCATTTCCCCCCAGAGCTTTGCCAGCAGTTTCCTGCCAGAGTTCTCCAAATTCCTAGGTCTACTTCTGATGCCTTAATAAATTCAGATATTTGGTCTAATGCCTCCTGTGTATTTATTTCAAACCAACTGGAAACTGCAGTGATCATGCTCAGAGTATTTTATAACTGAACCCCTGCTCTGGCAAGAGCAGCTCTCCACTGTTTTGGATTTCCCAATGCCTTGGAAAACTTGGATCACTCAGTCTGTTTGATTTTTATGAATTAAGAGTCCTAAAAGTTGATCTGTTCAGCTCTCCTCCACAGTTATTGTACAATACTTCACAAATTATATTCACAAATGGATATATTAATTCATAATTTTGCATGTAAGACTTTATCAGGAATAAAGCTGCTTCTACACAAACACCTATTATTGTATTGCCAATAAAATTACAAAATAATTGAAAATTATCTTAATTTATTTTCCATAAAATAGAACAGTGATAAACTGAAGTAAATGTGACAAAAAGAGCAACCAACCCATCCAAGTCACAAGATCTAAACAGAGCTGCCAAACACTCCAGATATTTTCACACACCTATCTTAGGATCCAGCTCTAGAAAAGCTGTTTGTGAGGCCAGGAAGAATAAAGTCCTTCTGGAAAAGGATCTTAAGGAACACAGCATTCCTTCCTTCAAAGCAGCTCTAGACTTTTCTGTTAAAGGCTGATGCATTAAAATATTGAAATAGCCTTTAGGTCTCACAGGAGAAAGGAGCCCAGGAAATTGGCTCCAGGCTTTTGTTCATAATTGGAAACCTGACTTGGAACTGGCCAAGAAAAATCCAAAGCCCATCTGAACTTGCTCCTAAGGGACATCTGTGGTACACAACCAAACACATGGAATGGATGGAATATGGAAGGGAAGTTAACAGGCAAAAATTTCAGTCTGGGAGTTACTTTCACCTTCCCTCCAAGGAAAATCAAGAAGAGAAGACAAGTACATGAGACAAGGAACCAAAACATGTAACACAGCCTTGGCAGTGTCACTGGATTGTCTATTAGCCATTAAATTTCCCTTCTTTGTGGTAAACAACAGGTTAAAAAGCCATTGAGTGAAAAAGCAATTAAGTCCTCCAACAATGAAACTGTGACTATTAAATGCACTGTACAAGACATGGGAACTATCTCTGGGCTTGATGGAAATAGGAATATTCAACATTCACTGTTTATTCTCCTTACAGTCCTCCCTTGCTGGGGGAAACCAAACCAAGCAAACTCCCAGAATTATCCCTTCAATGCTTAATGGAGGTGACAAGAAGGCTGGAGAGGGACCTTCACAGGGCATGGAATGAAGGACAAGGGGGAATGGCCTTAAGCTGTAGGAGGGGTTAGATTAGATACTAATAAGGAATTCTTGACTCTGAGGGTGGTGAGGCCCTGACACAAGTTGCCCAAAGAAGTTGTGGCTACCTCATCCCTGAAGTGTCCAAGGCCAGGCTGTCTGGGGCTCTGAGTAACCTGGGATAGCAGAAGGTGTCCCTGCTCATGGCAAGGGGGTGGAACAAAACAATCTTTAAGGTCCCTTCCAACCCAAACCGTGCTGTGATTCTATTCCAGACAGTTTGGTCAGGGCATAATAAGGTCAATATCCTGAGTCTGAACACTGAAGTCTAGAGATATCTTTGTTTACCATTCCCCTCCTTTGTGTGAAGGCCTCTTTGTTGGTATGAAAAAGGGTGCACAATGTGAAAGACAAAGTGTGAGGACTTGAGGCATAAGGGCCTTGATGTCAGCAATCAGAGGAGATTCAGCATCCCCAAACCAACTATCAGTGCAGACCAATAATTAATGTTCACAGAAAACTGCATTGCTTGCTTTGTGGAAGGGACCCAGTATTATACAGTAAAGGAAATGTGAAGAGGTTAAATACTGTTTTTACCATATTACTACTCTTTAACAAGTTGCCACAAGTTATTACGTATCCACACTGCGCTACAGCAACAATTTAAAACAATTAAAAAGTGACAATACCAGAAGTAAAATAATTTAAGTGAACAATTTATACATTCTCATAGCAATGAGGCAGTTGTGTGAGAGCAAGGGCACTCTAATAGCATTGGAATCAAATCTTTGTGTACTCACTTGACACTGTAACACTGGAAGTGACTGTCTGGATACTGAGGCTGATAAGGTTCCTGACCCAGCACTGTCCCAAACCACCAGGCATCGTCAATAATGGAGCGGAACCTGTCAGCTGCAGCAAACACAGACATTCTGCTGAGAGAAGGATTTCACTCTGTGGCTGCCACAGGCAATCAGAAAAACTTTTGGTAACTGTTCTGCTTTCTCCCCATAATTCAAGTTCTAGACTCACTGGCATGTAAGTCTGTTATTAAGCTTTAAAATAAAAAAGGGAACAGTAGAGTCTGGATATGTGTTTTGGTGACTGTATTTACATCTACTGCAGTCCCTCTAAGGCTCAATTTTCTGACTCTTGCCTACCAGAGAACCCTCTACAAACAGCACATGCAGCAATTAGCCAAGGACACATTTGTGATTTCAAAACTGTTCAGTCCAACACAGCAAACACTTACAGGCCTGCCAGTTCCTCTGCCGGGCTTCGTCATAGAACTGACGTAAGATAAGGAAATCGATAACATCTGGCATGTCATGGTATCTGGATAAAAAAAAAATCATCACTCACGTGTGCCTCAGGGCTTTAGGAAGAAGAGAAACATATTCTTAAACACTTTTCAGGAAACTAAAACTGCACATACCTGATGGAAAATGATTTGTCTGTATGTTTCCCAGTGGCGTGATCTATAAAGGCAAGTTTGAGGCAACACAACGTGGGAGGACCAACTTCGTATCTAATTCCAACAATTTTTACCAATTCCTGATCCTACAGGTAACAACAAACAGCTTCAGCAAGTTTTGTCTTAGGGACCATGCACAGAACTGTTGGTTTAACATGAATTAACCAACTGTACCCACATGCAAAACACTGAAATGAGATTTGAGATTTCAATGGAAGGCAGTCTGTCAGCCTTAGGATTTTAACACAGGTCTGTCATTTGGCTTCCTACAGAAAATTCTGAAGACAATCTGATAACTGCACATGCTTTCCCCATAGAGAAACATTAGTAACCTCACAAATCCATGTTTTGCAAACAGAATAATAAAACTCTTCAGTCATAGGCTCTGTTAGAAACCCACAGAACCTTCAGTGCAGACCTACCCTAAGCACCACTTTTCTCCAAGGCTCCTTGTGTGGATTCAATTCATAAATGTTATTTCTTCTCACTGCTTCAATGTAAGCCTCGTGCCCTTGTCGGAAATATATCACCTAAAAAACACCCCAACAAGCCCAAACAGTGAATGTTTTCCTGTATTTAGCAATTACAATAATCACAAGCATTGGAAGGTTTTAATCCTTGTTCCTACCTCATCCCCCATCTGAGGGACAAACGGGGACCTTCGGAGAGCCGTGTCTGTGATCCACACTGGAGGGTGCCAGTCATAGGACAGCTCCACATTCAGTGGTTGTGCTGCAGCATCAGTCTTTACAAAAACCAGACATAATGGACATGAATTCTAAACAAATCATTCCATTTTGGTTTGGCAGACAACACCTTATCTTATAAAGGACTAATCCACAGCATTTCCAAACAGTATCAGCAGAATTCCTCCAAGACTTTGCTTGAGTTTAACTGTTTTTGTGATTCTAATACTAAACATTCCTTTCCTGTCTGGGGATTTCAGTGAGCAGATCATTATCATGTAGGCCTTAGCAGAAGGTTTTATAATTTAGATGACAGTCCCAGTACCCAATTAAAAATTAATCAACTGATTCTACTTAGAAGGAAATGAAAGGATACCGAGAAAAACGGACCAAACAAATCAAAATTATCCAAGGCTCAAAAAAGAGAATTTGTTTGCTCCTTTATGTGAGAAAACAACTAATAGTAGTTATTGTAACTTAAGGTAATTATTTAAATTAACTTAAAAAATCAGTAGCTTAAAACAGAGGAATTACTGTAACTTACAAAAAAAATGGACACCTTTCACTATCCAGGCTCCTCCAAGCCCTATCTAAGCTGCCTTTGGACATTTCCAGGGACAGGGCAGCCACAGTTTCTGTGGACAACATGCCCCAATGCCTCACCACCCTCGGAGTCAAGAATTCCTCCCTAATCTAATCTAACCCTGCTCTCCTTCAGTTTAAAGCCTTCCCCCTTGTTCTATCCCTTGGGAAAGGACTGATATTCTGTACTGATATGTATTGAACACATTTCCCCTTTAAAACCATCAACCTCGAGAACCCTTTTCATTTGGAAAATGAAAGCCCCTTCACTTGGAATGCAGATTCTTCCCTACCAATCAGCAGATCCCTCACACTGGGAATGATCCCAAATCAATCCCATGTTCCCTGTGTGCGCTGACAAAAAGATCCTTGCCTGATAGCAGTAACAGTTATTTTAGTAGTTTCTAATGAAGGCCATAAGAGAGAAATGAAGATTGTGTAGAAAAAAAAATGAAAATTGTACCTCCTCCTGCTTTTTTGGTTTGGGTTTTTTCCTCCTTTTCCTCCTTCTCCTCTTGGGAGGAGAGGATTTCTCAGCTGACACCTCGTCCTCGGAGGTGCTGCAGTAGCGCAGCGCTTTCCTGCGCGAGGTGCGCAGCGGCGGCTGCAGGTTGATCCCGGTGTCAGCGATCCAGTCGGAATATCTGCTCGAGGAGTCACTGCCCACACCGGCCAGGAAACACAAACACAGCTCTCACTGCTTCAGAACACTCAACTCCCCCAGAAAAACACCACACTGTGCTGCTGAAAACAACTCTGTCCTCTTGTTGTAACCATTATTCACTCACAGCTTAACATGAATTTCTGTGAGAATCCAGGATTTCAAAGCACATCTCTTTAAACAAATAGTCTGGTGAATTCTAAAATCAGTAATTTTATTCAAGAAATGTGTGCAATGGAATTCTGGACTTATTAGGAGCCCTCCCTAAGGAATACACAAATCAAATGCTGCTTAAATTTGTTACACTTGTCCAAATCTCAGCTACACATTCACTCTGAGTGGATCTCTGAGTACCATCATTCTCTGAATATTTTTTATCTCTAGTACTAAAGAATTCTAAAAGAGTATCTAAAATAGCCATGAAGAAGTGATTAAAAACTTATTTATGTAAAACCAGAAACTTTTAAAAATTCAGATTGAAAAATCGGAATTTTTTCTTAAGAGCAAAGAAAAAAAAAAATTCCCCAAACAAAACTGGGAAAAAAAATTCCCAAACTAAATCTTTCATCCCTCCAAAACCAGACCAAAACATACTATAGAAATATTACAGACTTTTATCTCTTGGCCATCTGACAAAGAGACTTGGAGTTAAATTAAAATATAGAAATGTTTTGGTGAAGTGGAACAGTAAATAACAATACAATGTGTCAGTGGAGTATACGGATTATACCTTATATGATTATTTACATTATTATTGTCATATGAACACATCTGAAGCACAACAGAGCTTTCATACAACTCTTAATTTGTCAAAATTCAAGTAAAACTCATTATGGGATGTTTTTCTTCACTTTACCTAGAACTATTGCTGTTGCTTTTCTTGTCACTTCTCCACTCTTCCTCTTCATCAGACGAACCAGAGCCCTCACTTTCTTCAGCTTCCTAAATTTAAAAATACAAACTCAAGCCAAACCCATGTTTTAAGAATCTGAAACTTAAAAACATATTGTTCATATTATCACATTTTAAAAAGTTTGGTAAAAAGTTGTTAAAATGGAAATAAAAGCAATTAGACCATGTAAAGTATATAATAAAATCTGACTGGGAATAATTTACATTACAAAAGGAACAGATTGAGAAAAACAATCACATCTTTTCTCTCAACACAACAAGGGGATGTTCTCTCACTGCTGTGATTTTTTTTTCCTTAGTTATGCAAGTTGAGGGGGTTTTTTTGCCCTTCTCCTTTTAGTAGCAAATGATTGACTGAGTACTAGAGTACTCATGCATATATTTAAATGCAACACTAAACAGTAGAGATACACCAAAATACATTATGACTTTGCTAATTTCCCGATTGTCGCTCATCAACTATTTGCACTGATTAAAATGTTTTAAATGTCTTTTTCATAACTGAGTCAGTACAATGCATAGCTCACATGTGAAGCTGTATTTTGTCAAGCAAAAACATTAAAAATAGGAGAAAATCCCATGAGATTTCAATTGTAGCTTCAAATGCTTGAATTAGTCCAACTGTCATTTTCAGAGTAACAAAGGTGAGAGTCTTCTCACTAAAACCTGCTCATACACTGTGTAGATGATACAATACAACATCAAAGTTCAACACCCACTGAATTTTACATTCAATTTAAGTGATTTATTGTTTTTAGCCACACTGAAATGATTTATTAAGAGGTAAGGAGAGTCCATTTCCAACGAATCCCAGTCCTCAACTTACTTCCAAGATTTCCTAATCTCCTGAGCATGTTCCCTTTTGTTCACTGTTCTTTCTTAACAAAGTGACTGCTCCAACAAGTCTGAGTTTCTCTGCTCCTTCCACTTCTCCTTTTCCCACTTTAAAACTATTTCCTTGTGGCAAGGCAAGACAAGGGCAGCCCTATCACCTATTTACAGTCTGATAATACATCAGACACAAACAAAAAGCTCCTGCTACACACAAAGTCCTGTGTCACCCCAGGCCAGAGGGACAGAGTCTGTGGATGACTCATATTAGCAAGAACCTTCAAAATTTCCATAAAAAAACATTAAAACACATCTAAACTCCGTATGTCACATGAAGCCAACCAATTGTCCATCATATTTTCAACATGGGATGTGGATTTGCTTTAGAAGATTCTCAGCAAAAAACCAGTTGAGCCATTTCTAAACTGACAGGAAATACTGTCCTTATTAAAGCAACACAACGGGTTTGACAAGTGCCAACAATGATGATGCTTACAGGAATACTTTCCCTGGAAAAAGAAGGGGTGGGGTTTTTCTGTTTGCTTGCTTAACAGAAAAGGCACATCTACATGAAATTTCAAGTTGAAAATCTAAACTCAGAGGAGAACTCACCTGCTCTATCACAAAGCAATTGTCCCTCTCCTCCTCAGAAGACTCCAGCTGCTCAATGTTATTCCGTGTTCTGTAGTTGGAATATTTCCGTCTGTGCAGTCGACGCTTTGATTGAATTAATGAAGACTCAGAATCACTCTAATTTATAAAGGGAAAAACGAGGAGTTAAATAAAAATATTTATCTGACAAATTTTTATGAGGGGGAAAGAGTGGCAAAAAGCACTGCTGAATGCAAAAACTGAAACAGCACGATTAAGTTAAAACTCCCTTTCACAAGAAATAATTTTCATGTAAGCCCAAAGTATAAACTGTTCCAAATTTAAGATTTATTAGTGGTTCTAAGAAATTGTTCTTTATAAACTGCTGTGACAGCTCTATTCACATCACCTGATAAATGTATTTACAGAATCAAGACATTAACTGCCTAAAGTGTTCCATCACAGAATCAGAGAATGCTTTGGGTTGGAAGGGACCTTAAAGACCACCTTGTTTCAACCCCCAGCTCCCTTCACTAAAGGGGATCATGCAGTAAAATTCTTGTGTCAAATTATTTTGTACTATAAGACAAAGCAAATCAGGCAACAAGCTTGTAAAAACAGCACAATAACCAATGTTTCCTTCTTGCCAATCTCTCCCACCAAACAGGTGATGAGAAAAGCACCTGAGAGAAGTCTGAAGAAGTTCACCCACACACAAAACATTTTCGTCTGAAGTGAATTGACAAGGAACAGCAACATAACCTGTGATTCCTCAAGTACAGGACCTTGAATGCTCTCAGTGCTATAGCAGGACTAGCAATAGCTGTGTAACTGCAGTCAAACCAGAATGGCCTGAAAGCCATCCTGCTCTGAAAAATTACTCCCAAATACCTCACATAGAGGGAGGCAAGACTGAAAGCAAAAAGAATTCCAGGTATCCATAAAAATAAATCAAGCTTTCTTCTGCAGTAATTGGGAGCTGAATCAGCAGAGTCCTTGGAAGATCATACTAGAAACCTCTGCTTTCATTTTTTACACCACCACTTGTCTTTGGGCACAGAATGCTCACTTTTCCAGAAGCTACCACGTACCTTTTCCAGTGACTCAAGTGACTTTTTATTCTCTGTTGCATAAAGATCTCTCTCTTCTTCCCCTTTTGCAATCCGATATTCTTCCTGCTTCCTACAAGAAAGCCATGAAAATCTAATTCCACACCTGTTTTGACAATGCTGTTCTCTTTAAGGGATCTCTCTCACACCCAATTCCATTCCATTTTTAATTTCAGATGTTTTTGTTGCTCAATTAATTCTAAACCATCCTATCATTTCCAGGTAAGAGTAAAAAATATGGATGCTAAGAAAGTCTTCCTTCTAAACATCAAAATACCATCTATGTTTTCAACCTCATTTTTAATTCACATTTTTCCATTTGCAATCACTCTACCTCCCAACACTGGGAATGCTTCTCAAAACCCTCAGAGACGTGGTAGCACCCATGGGTGTGGCTTTAAACACAGATGTTTAGCTACTAATTCTCCTTTTCACAGATCAATACTGGTAGCACTTTTGAAAGCAACTGGTTTAGCATTTCAAGAGGTTATAACTCATCACCTCCAGAAGTCTCACAGAGAGCACAATCTCACCCAGCACCTCCATGGAAATGAATTCAATCTGTATCTTGTATTTTGGAGAAAGCAAGAATCTAAGGGACCTAGCTAGCCTGGAAATGACTTAAAATATTGAAATAGGGGAAAATCATTCAACTGGACAACTCCCCTTTCTTCTCATTGAATGGACCTTACAAACAAGTTTTTAGCACATCTGCCCACAACGCTGAACTATTCCAACAGCATTCATTCTATATTTGGTGTAACAGCCCTTAATTTAGACAAAGCAAGCTGCTGCGGTGTCCCTAGTACTGTTAAGTTGTAGCTTTTATATTTTTCAGATTGTGTACTGCATTAGTGCTGAACTCTATACAGAATGCTAGTTATTCCTCTTCACATTTTGGTCAGACTAAACAATCCTTCTGCGCCTGGAAACCAAGGTCACACCACCTGCCTCAGGCCCTGAAAAGTATAATAAAAGTGAACTGGGGGAAAAAGCAAACCAGGGGGATACGGCTTCATTACCTGAAGCTGTAATTGAACAATTAACCTCTGATATGTAAAAAAACTTTTATCTGCCAAAAAAACTTGTGATCATCGTCCACAGTGGACATAGCCTCTGCCAGGCTCTTGCACTGCCCAAGAGCAGTTGGGGGTGAAACAAAAGTATAAACAAGAGTGAATTGTGGGGAGAAGCAAACCAGGGGGCATGACTTCATTACCAGAAGCTGTAATTGGACAATTAACCTCTGATACGCACACAGACCAAACATTTATCTGCCCAAAAAACTCATGACCGTCATCCACAGTGGACGGACGTAGCCTCTGCCAGGCTCTTGCACTGCCAGGCTCTTGCACTCTGCCTAGCCTCTGCTCCAGGCAGCCTCCCCAGCCATCACCTGCAGCTGCAGACAGACCTGAGCAAGCTGGGGGGGATCTCTGGCACCACCACCCTGCGCCTCCAGGCCTGCAGGTCCCTCTCGGTGGCCATCTGGCTGCGCGGGGCGTTCTGGTGCATCTGCCGCACGCCCTCCACCTGCCCGCTGCGCCGCAGCCCGATGTTGGGCGGGGACTGGATGTCCAAGCTCGGCCTTCTGAAAGCTGAAACACACAAATCAAAACGGTTTTGCAGTGCTGCAGGGAACTGGAAGATTCTTGCTGAAAGATTAAATAAAACAAACAAACAAAAAAAGGCTGGATTTTTATCTCTAAGAATGTGACTTGGAGCCTTCAGTGATGCCTTAGGTTTTAGATTTTCTATTTTTCAGATTCTGTGCTGCTTTAATGTGTACTTCTGAGCTTCACATGAGGGGATGCTGAGCTCTGTGCACAAAGCAGGGAGACAAAACAATTCCTGCTCCAGCTGGGCACCAAGAACAAACAATCCAAATATTTCAGCCCAGGACCACAAACAGCGTGGGCTGAAGAGAGAAAAACAAGCAGGGTGGGACTGATGGGCTGGAGCTGGAATGGGACAATGAACTCCAAGGTGCCAATGGAGCAGAACTGATCCCAGGGAGAGCCCCGGGAGCGCTCGTGCATTTTGGGACCATTTTGGGTCATTTGGGTGCAGCCCTGGCTGGGCTCTGGAGCTGCCCAAGGTGGATCCATGGAGGAGATCCTTGAATAAATCCCTGCTTTATCCTTTAGCTCTGTCCAGCTCTGCTCTAGATGCCTTCACAAGGCATCAGTTTTGGAGGATTATGTGTCTTGCAGAAAACACAGAGAGATTATACGAAGGACTTTTAAAATGGTTATTTCTGCTACTGTTTTCATAGAATCAGAATCACAGAGTCATTTAGGCTGAAAAAGACCTCCAAGATCAAAAGACCTCCAAGCATTTGACCAGTGACCTTGTCAACCAGACCAGAGCACTGTGTGCCACATTCCAGTGGTTTCCTAAACACTTCCCAGTGGAAGGAATTGTGATGTGACAGAAGGGCAATTCTGAACTATTTCAGACAGCTGTGAGGCCACTAAGGCTCTAAAAAGCACTTTTCATATAGCTGAGTGCATGTAATTAAATATATAATTATATAAGAAAATAAATATTTTTTCATCTATATTATATAACTACATAATTAAAACTACAAAGACACAGCTTAGGAAAATGTCTTGTTTAAATCTGTAAAGAAGGGACAGGGGAAACCAGTTTGAATTATGGCACAATACCTACTTTCCAAAAAGTAAGGAATGCAAAAATAACTTATATTGGGAAACATTTGCAAAAAATTCTATTGTATATATTTTGCATATTATTAATGACCTTCTCCTTTTAAAGTGAAAGGCTTTGTAATTTAATCACAGGAGCAGCAGTGTTTTAATGAACAAAAGTAACCAAGTATCACAATGCTAAAGCAATCTCAGTCCCCAGAATTACACTGAAATCAAAACCTGTTTCAGTATTTCACACAGCACATGAAAGACAGAGACAGAACAATTACTGAAGAATTTATCAGCAGTCCTAACCTCTCCTGGGTGTTCCCTCCCCATTTTGGGGGCCACTTGGAGCAGATTCTTGATCAGCTCCAGTCCTCTGATCCTGTTCCAGCTGTAGCTGTCTGATCATCCCATCCAGAATGCTGGGCTCCAAGCCTGGCTCATCCTGATCAACCGTCTGCTGGCCAATCACCTGCTCAACAACTTCTCCATCACCTTGCAAGTGTCAAACAGATCAAATGAAAGAAGTTATTCCAATTATTTTTTCCAAGTAAGACATTTATGGAATGTACAATCAAATGGATTCTGCTGACAGAAAAGAACTGCAACATCCATTTGAAAAACTGTTTTTTGCTTGCTTAAATTGTATTCACTGTAGGACCTTCCAGCATTTTTATTGAACATAAGTACAAAATATCAAGAGAAAAAAAGGTATTTTCAAATTGCTGATCCCCTTAAAATCTAATGAGTAACCTACTTCCAAATGTCGAGTTTTAATGATATTCTTACTTGTTGCCACATATCCAAGCTGAGGAATCAAATGCTCATCTGCACAGTTCTCTCTTCCTGGCACCAATCTTTGATATTTTGTTGGATGAGGGTTTCCATCCACATCCACTAAGAAGGGAGGGGGCATGAGGTGAGGGGCCTGCTGAGTCTGCTCATCCAACACATAGTTATTGGAGTCTCGGATCAGCGGCCGATAGTCAGTGTGGAAGAACATCTGATCAGGAATCTAAAAGGAAATTTAAATTTTATGTCAGCAATTTGGAAGAAAGAATATGCTGAAGAACAAAGAACAAGCACTAAAGTCCCTAAAATCTACTTAAAGGTAAAAGAAAGGGCAAGTTCCCAACCGGAAAGATTTATGTGTAACTTCAGTTAACCTGGATGGGTTTTGCAGTACTGCAACTTCCAACAGTGCTTTTGCAGCAACAGAGTTCTTTCAGAAAACAAAAAGCTGAAGTAACTTAATGCAAAAGTACTGGTTTACACTCAAAAATATTTGCCTCTCATTCTGCATTTTCCCCCTACAATTATCAGAATCACAGAATATTCAGAGTTGGAAGGGACCCAAAAGGGTCACCAAGTCCAACTTGTGAGTGAGTGGCCCCGAAGTTTCCTTGCAAGGAAATCTTTGGCTAAAGCTCAACATCAGCTCAAGTAAAGTTTTCTTAATCATGATTTCTTTCTTAATCTATATCCACTTAAAGTGGTTTTTTTTTTCTACAACTGAAAGTCCACGAGGCTGAAGGGAAATGGTTACATAACTATTAGACCACAGTCAGAATGTTTGCTTCCAGCAGTGATAGCAAAGATGAAGGAAACAAGTTTCAATTTCAGCTGAGAATGTAGAGCAAGGAGAAGTAATTCTTTAAAATGACATACATGGAACTAGCAATGCAACCTGAAAAAAAAAAATGAGGGGAAGTGAAAAAGAAATGTGTTTATCAAAAAAAAAAAAAAAAAAAAAAAGGAAGCAGACTGATAAATTCAAAAATTTAGGATAGGATAAATTGTTGGATCAGTAATTTATTTTTGCTTAATTTAATCAACTACAGTGAATTTAGGCTTGAGTGAGAAAAGGCCTAAAGAACTGCAAGATAAAGCAGCAGAAATTACAAACAGAAGCATTTTTGAGGTTGAACAATTGAGGTGAATTAGCTGTCTCCAAGGTGAAAATGTATTCCAGGAACATTCTTGGGAGCTACTCCCATGGGAATGTTAAGACATTGGTTTTTTCCTGCTGTGCCAGGATCATATAAGCAAGACAATTTACAGACATCAAGGAATCCATTATATTTAGATCTTCTAACCACACAAATTATTTTTTACCATATGAACTTTTAAATTAATTAATGCAATAATGCAATTTCAGTTAGAAACTTCATACAGAGATATGATAAAAAGCTGAACTTACCTTTTCATAAGGTCTGCTACAGCCAAAGCCAAATATCAGCAGATGTCCATGGGAATCTGTGCATGCAAAATGCTGCCCATCTGGTGAAAATTTACAGTCAAAAACAGCTCCGTGTCCCTGGCCTTCAATCTGGATTGAAGGAAAAAAATTTCAAGACTTCACCATTTTTTCAGAGCAAACCATAAGCATCCAAAATTACTCTATCAAAAGCCATCATTTCCCTAAATACCTCCATTAAAGCACAAATAATTTAGTTACTTCATATATTTCTTTTACACTTGAATTAAAGTCCTGAGCCAATTCTAAAAGCTGCACTAAAAGGTATAAAAAGTTACTGTTCAGTGCCCAAAATAAACAAATAAACATGCTTTTCTGAGCTTTTACAGCTGTCAGCATACTGCTTGAAATAAACAGAAGCCAAAACAGATTGCTTTTGTTAAACAACTTTCTAGACAAACCCAAAGAATTTAAGAACTTAAAAATAAAAAAAGCTCTTTGCTGTTGACTGACCAGGGAAAAAGGATTAAAAATTTATATGTACATTAGATCAAAACCTAAGTCTCACAGAAAATAACCTAATTTAAAGTATTAATAATGAGCTGTCAAATGGAGCCCTCAAGCACTGTGGCAATCAATATTAAGAAAATAATTTGTAAGCCTGTGGAAAATACAAGTATCTGTCCATTATTATCTTCAAACAATGACACAAAACAGAGCCTTTTAGATGGCATCTCCCCTCAGCTGAGGAAAACAATATGAATGAAGTGCACAATGATCTTCAGTAAAAAAGAGTGCAAAATCCACAATAATCAGCAAATTCTACAGTAAAAAGCTCTAAGGAAATAAAATTAATTAACAAATTTTGCTGGTTAAGATTTTCCTGTTGGGTTGGGGTTTTTTTCCCCTAAGATGCAAGGGTGTGAGTGTTGATGGCATTCCTTAGGCTGGTAGTGAACACGCTGCTGTGTGCTGAGAACAAATGGTGTTTAAAGAAGCTCTCACCATGTTAAAATAATGCTTTGTTTTGGTGCCTTTGGTGATGTCCCAGATGAAGATGTTGCCATCGTGGCCTGCAGACAGCATTATCCTGCAATCAAAGGGATGGGTCTCCAAGACAAACACTTCATCTGCATGGCCCTGCAATTGAAAATTGCACATCACAGGGAAACCAGGGAAATCCACAGCAGCAGGATAGTCACAACAGAGCCCAAAGCCTGCGCTGTCCTCTCTGGAAAATTAAACCCCAAAGACTTGAACATTCCAAAGGTAAAAATTTTTCTAGATTCAAGCAAGAGCTGTAGAAATATGAAGCTTTTGCCAAAGGATGGTGAAATATTCAATGGATATATTACTGCACAAGAATTTTATTTATTCCACATTGATTTGTTCTTCTATTTACAGGGAAAGTCCACAGCTGGAGGAACCAGCAAATTTTGGTTAGAAGAATTCCAAGGAACACCAACCTTGCTGTACCATCCACACAGAGCTTTCAAGACTAATCAGCTCTAATTATAAATTCAGCATACATATGCCACTGCAATTTCAGTAAAATCTTTGAAAAGCAAGGAAAATTCCATACCACCAAGTCATGGAGCAACTGCCCTGTACTGGAATTCCAAACTTTGAGCAGGTGATTATTCACAGCTGTAACAACATAGTTGTCATTTTGGTTCCAAGCTATCATGGTTACTTTAGGCTTCATGAATTTGTCTTCTTCTGCACAAGTGTCACTATTTGAAAAAAGTCAAACAGGTCAGAGATGTATTTGATATTTTAGTTAACTTTTGATATTTTAATTAATAGTTCTATATCAAAACACAGTAATCTCTTTTCCTGTGTTAATAATAAGACAACAGAAAGGAAGCGAAGAATTAAATCTGGGTTGAAACTTTTGTTCACAAAATTCTTCATTTAAAGCAAATCTGGATTTTTACATTTTAAAAGGACTTCATAATCTCTTTCTCATTTGACATGCAAAGCAAAAAGGCTTCCCTTTTTCATGGAATCTTGGCTCCTCTACAATTAGAGTTCTAAGATAAATCCTGCAAAATTTTGGACTTTTTACAGTCAGCTTTTCCAACTGATTCCCAAGCCAATCTCTACATTAGCTAAGCATTTTTTAATGAGCCCCAACAGAAATACAGTAAAGATAACATTCTGTTTTAACCTCAATCTATTTCCCTATTCTCTCCCCAAAATAAATTTATAGGTACAGTAACACTGCCTCTCAGTCATTTTCCAGACAAGGCAAGGAGTAAGTTTTCCTTGAAACACCTTCACATGGGATTATCTTCATTCCACTTCAAGTAGAGGCCTAAAGAAGCTCAACTACACAGCCACAGTCAAATCTCAAATATTATTAACTCCTCCTCTCTAAAATCAGATTTCTTTCACAGTCTTTTTCATCACAGGAAAAGCCTGAAATCACCCTCCAATCAAATAGTGTACCCAAGGTTTGGCTTTTTATTTAATCACCTACAAATTATTTAATCAAACTCTCATTTAATCACCTACAAATGAGTTTCAGTTCAGTGTCTGTGGAAGCTTACTGAGCTTCTGTACGTCACTCCCCCTTCACGTTTACCCAACACCACGTAATACCCTGATTTTTATCTCTAATAACATTATTCAGACTGGCTGCCACCAGCATTTCATTAATTCACTTTTTTTAAAAGCAGAAAATGGGAACAGTCAGCAAGATCAGTCCTTGAGGAAAGCCACCTATTCCATGTCATAACCTCTCCTGCAAATAGGTCACCACCTACTTTATTTTTACTAATCTAAAAATATTTCTCCCGTGACACACCAGGTGTCAGACTAAAACCCAGATAAAGAAGGTAGATTCTTTCTGTTCACCTTTTTTCCTGAAAAGAGGCAGTAAAATTAACTTGGTACAGAGCACATTTGAGAGCTTTCTCAACACTTAGGAATTTATGAAAGCACAGACTCAAACTCAGCAATTATTGCATCACAAGAACACTCAATTCACCCCCTCCCAAGACCACAGAACTTGACCAGAATGCTGCTCTCACTCACATTTGAGTAATTGAGTTTTTCAATCTTTCTGAATTTACACAAACCATGAAATGAGCACTCCACCTACCCCAGCAGTCGATCAGACATATCCAACAAAATGTTCCTCCACTCTGCTTGCTCGAAACGCCAGATCCGAGCTGTTCCATCTCTGCTGCCACTTATGAACCTGAACAAGTAGTAAAAATTCATTTATCTTCCCAAACATTTGCTTTAAAGTATCTTTAGAGTTAGACACCACCACAACATAGATTTTGCAGTGGAAGACTGACAGAAATGAAATCTTCAATTTGTGTTCAAGAAAATTCTTTCCAATAACTTTCTTTCCAGAAAAGCAGAAAAGAGTTTTTCTGAACTGGAAAACTGAATAAAGTTGTCAAAATACGAAGAAAAGAGAAGCAAGTTCCAAAGTTTAATTCAATTCACAAATTCATCCTCATCTCCTCCTCAGTACAGGATTTCAATGTATTTTAAGTAATTGCTAAGTTTCAGATACTGAAGAAGAGGCAAGAACAAATCAGATGAAAAGGTTCTAATTTATTTTTGACCGCTTTCACTGCATTTCTCCTATTTCCTATAAAATACTCGGTGAAACTGAAAGGAAAGGAGGAGGAAAAGGAGATTCATGAAGCTACAAACACATTGGGTACATTAAAAAGTGGTTAAAATTCCTCCAGGTAAATAAAACCTCAGCCAGGCAAAAAACATCACCTAACACAGATCAACAGAAAGCTGGAACAGCTGAAGCTTAATTGTGCTCCTGCATCAGTCCAAAATTTCCCTTCTGAGGTCTAAATACATAGATTTTTATTTACTGGGAACATCCAGGAATGGATGATTCTTAATTCAAAAATTCTGTATTTTTTGGCCATATTTCAGCATTCTTCAACATACCTGTCCCCACCATTAGAAAACTGAATGCTGTCAACTTTATCCTGTAAGAAAAAAGTAGAGTTTGTTCAAGTTTTCTTTTTTAAACAGGAAATACATTATTTGAAAATTCTGAGTTTAGTAAAAGCTGAAATAATGAAAAAATAAAATGCTGTGTAATTCTAAGAGTTTCAACTGCATGGCAAACCAAGTCCAAACACTTCCAGAACTCACAAACCATTACTATCTAAAATGTATCTTTTAAAAACAGCTTGAATTTAACAACACGAAGTATTAACAAATTAAATAACCTGGCTGACAACTGAATAATATTTAAATATATTTCCAATACCGTAAGTCAACTACAATAGTGAGGAATCTTTTGTTCCTACTCCTACTTACTCTTTCCTTAAAAAAATAAATGATTCATTTTTATCACAATAAAAACTGCAGGAAAACTAAATACAACACTTTGTCTTACAGCAGAAAAGTTTTCTCTACATAAAAAACTAAGTACTGATCAAGCCTTATCAATGCAACAAAAATAGTCAGATTTTGTAGTAGAGGAAACATTAATGCAAAGAAAATTAATTAAGAGCCTTGCTAAAAATCCACTCATAAAATCATCTTGTGACTTCAGTGCTGCTTCAAATGAACTAATTAACTAATTACTTACAGCATGACTTTCCAATTCAGCTATTTTCTCAGGTGTTTCAGAGCCAAAAAAATACATCCTGATGACATGGTCAGTGCTGCCAGTTGCTAAAAACATCCCACCTGTAAAAATCAAGCAATAATTAACCTGCTGTGGAAGAAATTAAAACAGGTCACCACCATTTATCAGAGGCCTGGTTTAAATAAAAACAACTCCACACCTATTTGGAGAATGGCACATTTTTTATGCTCTTCCACTGACACACATATGTGGAAGGAAATCCCTTTCTTGCCCCAGAAAGTGTTCTCAGCCATAGTAAAAATAAATTGGTGTTAGAAAGATTTTAAAATATATCTTTAGGGAAGTAGTGGAACTTTTAACATTAAATTGCACAGAGAAGCCTTCGCTGGTGGGGAATATGGCTCTGGATAATCAGAATTATGTAGATGACTCTCACTGTAGTCTGTGCCTCATTTGTGCCAGTGAACTGCATCAAAATTAGGCTGAAATGTGAGTAAACCAGTCAAGTGAAGTACCCCAGTGTAAGCACATCAGTATTTAGCTGAGGTGGCAGAAATTCCAAGAGCTGCCTCTAAGTGCTGTCAAGAAAAACCAAAACAAAACAAAATGTCAAAAACACCCTCTCAACACAAGCCAGGGTTCTATCCTGACAATGTTAACAAGCTACACTTTGATTTTTATTTGCTTTTTAGTTCTGAAATTCACATGAACTGAGTGAAAGAAAACAAGGCAGGAGTGAAGCACGTTAAAGATCCATTTCTGGATCCTTAAGAGGAAAATCTTTATGAGCACCCCTGGCGCTGGGTCAGGAGCTCCTGCTGGCAGGACCCACTTCCACTGCTGGTGACTGTGGGATGTCAGAGAAGCCATTTTGCCCACCCTTGACATTGTACAAGGGGATTAAACAAAAATAAAACCTCCACTAAAGATGGATAGAAGCAAACAGACATTAGGTGGCTTTTACCTCTGTGAAATCACAATGTCTTTAACTGTTAACAGTCTTTAACTGTTAGCTAAGGGAAGCCCCAGCATTTCATTATGTCACAGCTAACAGTGCACATCTGTGCAATTATTTACTCACAACTGCAGGTTTTGTGCATTTTAAAGCTGTCACAATCAAGTGTTACAAGAGAGGAAAGAAGAAATCACAAGACTGAACTCCACCTGACTTACCCACACTGAAGGAAGAACAAAGCATCTGAACCCCTGGCCTGGGCTTCTCTGTGAACTTCACTGGCTTGGTGCTTAAAAAGAAAAGATGTTAGAAATAGGCCACACCACCCTAAACTTGGCTTTTAGCAACATTTCAAAGCATAAAGGGATGTTTCTTTAAACAGGGATCATTTTATACCAACTACTATGCATGATGTGGCACACCATCAGACATACACTGATCATTCTAGAGTTCTTTTTGGTAGTAATTAATTTTTTGGGTACAAACAAGGAGTAATCACATATTGAACACTTCAAACTATCCTGAAAATACATATCCTGCATGCAAGTTCTGTAAGAAACATCCTAAAACTACAGAACTGTTGGAAAACCAACACCACCACCAAGTTTTATTCTCTTTTCCAAAATATTTACATTTCCAGTCAGTCCTACTGTCCTACATTTGAATTTTTAGTGAATAAATTAATATACATCCCAACTAATCTCCCAAGTCAATGGAAGAACATTAATTTGTAAAGGATATAGTTGGTGATGGTGCTTTAAAATAACTACTGAATACATGATTTGCACAGTATTTTTATAACCACAAAAACCCAGTGGAGTGAAAACCACCTGATTTTTTTTTACTCAAGCCCAGAATGGCATAAAGGTTAACCAGCAAACCATTCACATACTTGAATTTCATGGAATCTGTGTCCCACTGCCAAAAGCAAACAGTTCCATCTGCCCCAGTGGAGACCATGTATCGCAGGGAGCCTTTCACCATGGGACTGAACTGCAGGGAGGAAAGCAAAATCACACACAGGAATAGAGATTTAAGAATTGTTCAGGATGTTAACTTCAAAAAGTTAATGTAAAAGCTTGATTTATTTTGGATTTTTCACCTCAAACTGCTGGAGCAGTTGTTGGAAACTCATTTTCAGTGTTTACAAGGTAATACCTCCCCTACTTTAAGGTAAGTTTGTGGTCTGTGTTTCAATTACTGTATTAAAAAAACCCAATTCCGTCAGTGGTTTGGGTTTGATGTTTCCACTGACCACAATCATTCATTGAAAAGCCTGTCAATGAATAAAATAATGAGCACAGCAGACTGAAAAAAGGAAGTTTGAATAGACAGGTGCAGTCCAAAAATAATTAAGCAGAGCACAAGATATGAGATAGTTTGAATGTGTAATTTATGCAAATTATCATATGTAATTTTACAGAAATTGTATGGGAATTCCTTAGAAATAGTTCTTTAAGACAAGGATTTATTGCTATGCACAGAGCTACCCTTCAGAAAACTTTACAGACACAGATTGTTTAAACTGTTCATCAATTACTAACGTTGGAAAGTCATATAAATTGTACATAGTGCAATTATGGTATTATTAAGAAAACCTAAATTAAAGAATTTGCACAATGCAATACAAGAAGCACCAGAAGTATTTAGACACTAAAAACCAACCAAACTAAAAAATGTAGTGAATGTCACAGGTATGAAGACTACTCTCTGAGGCAGCATTTTTGAGAAAAAATCAAAATTATTTGTTTGTACTAAGCCCCACAAGCCATTTTTCACCCCTCAAGACAAGCTGCTGGTCTCACTGGAAGACACCCGAAACCTGGATAATGAGCTACTAATTTCTGTGTTAATTAAGGTATTAAAGGCCAAAACCAGACTGAATTCAAAGGACCACCAAGAGCACATCATGTATCAAATCACCTCTAAATTTAAATATTCACGTTACACCTTTGTCCTTCTGAAATTACTCCTATTTTTGAGATTAAAACAAATACCCACATCCCAAAAGTTGGAGGAATAATATACTGGATCAGAACACATTCACACCGAATAGCAAATTATGAATCCAGTAAGAGACAACAGGACAGGATATTCCCAGAAACTCCCTTTTGTTCCAACAACTCAAGTATTATATGCAGTGATCTTTAAGAGAAAAAGAATTCCTGGCATTATCTTCAGTTAAATACTTAAGAATTCCAGAGAGACGAGGAATTGACTTGTTTTTAAGCAGGTTTATCCTGTGATTTGACTTACTTTTGCCATAAATATTTACACATTCAGATTTCACTACTCCCATAGGCAGGCATAGATAAATAATTTCAGTTTTTAATACGCAGAAACACTTCAAAAGCCCCATACCTGCAATGAGGTAATGGACCCTGTGTGCCCATGGAGGACAGCAACTGGTGCACAAGTCCTCAGGCACCACACTCGGATCATCTTGTCACAGCTCCCAGCTGCAATCATGGTGTTCTCATAGTTCACAGCCATGTCAGAGATCTCTGCTGAATGTCCTCGTAAGGTGGCAAACAATCTGCCATTGTGAGTGGACCAGATCTTCACCAGACAGTCATCTGAGCCCTGAAGAGAAACATTCATTAAGGACAACTTCTGACATGCTTCTGACCTTTAATTACAGCAAATTGTTCCACTTAAGCATAGCAAGGGAGCTACATTTTACCAGCATTGATATTTATCTCCAGAAGTTTTAGCACAACACCCATTTCCAAGCATCATCTAAAAGTATATTCAGAGTTGGATGTATTTTCATCAACTTACAGTAAATATTCTGTGTCCAGTCCTGTCAAATGCAACACAATACACAGAAGAGAGATGGCCAAGGATCCTCCTGTGCATCTTGACATGCTGGTACATACTTCCTGGGAATGAAGTGCTGAACTTGGCATATCCAGTTAATTGCTTTGCTCGATGCACCTCCACTAGAACACAGAGGAATCACATCATGTTTCAAATATGTCTGTTCTAAAACCTGGGTTTATTCAATTGCCATTAATATTAAAAAGCTACTAGAAGTTACTTTCAGATTTCATAAAGTCAGGTTTTGTGGTACCTGCAATTTTTATTGTGTGTAAAGCCAGTATTTTAAAAGGGCTCAGCAGCAGTGAGGAGAGGTGAGAGGAGCTTACCAAGATTTGGTGGGGTGCCATAGTTCACAGGCATTTCTGGTGGTCTGCCTCGATGCAGAGCAGCAAATGCAGAGCCCTTCCAAACAGTGTTCCTGCAATCTGCAGAAACAGTTGAAGTTCATCATAAATACTTTCTAAAAATGTCAAGAGAGCTGCAGCTCCAAAACACAGCAAAGACCCATCTAGTCTGGTCTCAAACACAGGACTGAACCCACCAAAAAACAGGCATCAACTGCCCCAAAACTTCTCACAAACAATGAAGAGTTAAAGAGAAAAAAATTATTTAATAGTAACAGAAGGAGAAAAACCAAACAGCAAACTTTGAAATTTCTCCTGACTGATGGTACCCCTGCAGTTCACATGACACGAAACTAAAACTCCAACTGATCTTTACCATTTTCCTGAATATTTATACAAGAATGTAATGAGTAGTTAATAATACAAAGTTATGTCACGAGATGATCTCAAGAACCTTTCAGTAACTACAGGGGATTTACAAGAAAGCTAGAGAGGAATTTTTAACCAAGTCTGGGAGTGAAAGGACAAGGGGGAATTGCCTCAAGCTGAAGGATGACAGGTTTAGATGGGATGCTAGGAAAATATTTTTCCCTGTGAGGGTGGGCAGGCCCAGGCACAGGGTGGGCAGAGCAGCTGGGGCTGCCCCTGGATCCCTGGCAGTGCCCAAGGCCAGGCTGGACACTGGGGCTGGAGCAGCCTGGGACAGTGGGAGGTGTCCCTGCCATGGCAGGGGTGGCACTGGATGGGCTTTGAGGTCCCTTCCAACCCAAACCATTCTGGGATTCCAAGAGGTCACTTCCAAAGTGTCAGTTCTGCCTCTCTCACACTATTCCCCAAATCCTAACTCTGTGAACACAACAATGAATCATCCCCATTTCAAACAAAGAACAGATCCTACCTTTTGCTGTCCGTAGCAAGGACTGTCTCCCTGCCCCAAGTAAGGAATTCACTCTGGAAATGCTGGGTGGGATCTCCTTATCCAGGATAGGGCCAATGCGTTTGCAAATTTGTAATAAATGATCTGGAGCCACATGTTTGTTGGCCAGCACCTGACAGAAATTCAAGGTTTAAAAATTAGATTGGTACACTCAGAACAGTTGGATCTAAAAGTATCAATATGCACAGATATATTTGATTTTTTTAAGTTCAACTTACAGAGAATAATGAATTCTGTTAAGCTCTGATCTAGTAACTTCAGTGGGTACTCTGCAAGCTAGGGAGAACTGTAGTAAAAATAACTGGAGTAAAGTTACTCCTGCAGATCAGTATTTTATTACTGGAAGTTTGCAGGAATCACCCCTGAGGCACCCACTTGTCAGACACCCTACACTGAGTGTCTTTGCCCAATTCACCCTATGATTTGTACTAAAAATAAGAAATAAAATACAAACCCTCAGAACTCAAGATCATGGAGAATGGGGTTGCAATCAAGAACAAGAATTTAAGCAGCTATTACCTGTACTTGCTCACTGAACTGCAAACCAGCAGGTTTGAGTACAATCTCTCTGGAAACAGTTTCCTTGAAGAACCAGTACCACATAACCTAAGTCTGCCCTACTTCCTTAAACCAGGATCAAACCATTCATCCCTACACTCAGGAATGATCCCACACTATCTGCATCAAGCAACCTAAAAAAAAGAAATACACCCCCACACACAGTCAGATGTCTCAGACAAGAACAGATGTATGCGGATTTTGATTATTTTTCCCCCTTCTCTTTCTGGGAGTTCAATCTAAAAAATTCCTTATTCTTATCAAAGCAACCACAATAATGCAGAAGGTAAAGACACAAAGTAGGAGTTTAAGCAGCCTTGAGTAGAGCAAGCCATCAGACTCAAAAGTTGAAGCTGTTGGGGAGGTCTGAAGCAGGTGGGATTGACAGCCCCACACTTCCTCCAGTGTGACCTGGCCATGACCAACCGAGTCAGGCCCAGCAGCCACACTGCTCCTGCAGCAGCCAGAGAATTCCCAGCCAATCCATTCAGGAGAGGCTCAGGGCCACACCAGCTCAGGTATGTGGCCTCCTGCCCAGGTGGCTGAGAACACAGGCAGAACAAGCTCGTGCTGCTGATGCTGTTCCCTTGAACAGCTGAGCTCGGATGAGCAAAGTGTCCCAACAGGGCTGATCTGCTCATCACAACAGTGGGAATAAAAATAAAAATACCACACGCTGCCAGAAAGTTTCCCAAATACACACTGAGCATTCAAAAGGTACAATTTAAGTCACAGCCTTGCACTTGTTTTTTATAATAAAATCCAGGTATAAAGCTTGTGGGGAATAGGTTGTATTCCTGGCAGGGTGGGAGGTGATAACATCAGTAAAATAACTCCCATTACCCCACAGGCAAATCTGTCCAAGCAAATCAGCCCATCAGATGCTTAAGGTTGATTATGAGAAACATATCTGGTAGCCCAAAGACTACAAAATGCAGTTTGACATAATTCCTTTATCAATTTTGACTCTTGAATTGGTATAGAGCAGTACCAGCCACAAATTCAGGGCAGAAAGGCCAGTCTGCTTTCTGCCAAACACTAAAACCCTTTTTGTTTGCATGCAATCAGCAATATGTATATATTCTAATATATTTTCTAAATGCAACCCTTGCATACAAAACCTTGCAATTCCTTTCTTTTTGAAGTAGTTTTGCTGAGATTTTGGAAGGAACAGTTATTTTAAAGATTTGCAATTCCATGCTGAGCAAAGTGGAATAGAAACAATTACAGCACATGACTGATTTGTCTGTGGTCTCTGCAAATTCAGAGTGAGACCAGTGGGACAAGAGGTTCCCAGAGCCCCTCAAAAAACAGAAACTAAAACCCTGAGAATAATTTAGATCTTCTGAAACACTACTGCTCTGTGCAGAGATTACCTTTAAATTGTGCGGGAAAAAAGAGATAGAAGCAGCACATGTTAAAGAATTAGTTTGACAATTGTATATGCAGATTAATCACAGTTAAAAAGCAGCCCTGAAATCAGAAAAACACACACATGGGATCTCCCAACACCCTTCTTTTTGCCAGAAGAAATGGGGTAAGAAACCAACAATGAAGCAACAAAAAGAAACCCTCCCAATAATTCTTTCTAAGCTTAATGCTACTTTCATCTTGCCTAAATTCAAGTCAGAGCTTGAAAATATTCCTGTTTAGCAAGGCCAGGCTTCTTAGTGACTTACAAAAACTGATCTAAAACCTTCCTTGCTCAACTGGCCACAAGAACAAAGAGAGGAAATGGAATCACACTTATCATTTCAAGCAATACTTAAATAATTAAGAAAGTGTTTTAAACAACATTTCATTCCTTCTCTATGCAAATATCATCCTGAGATCTTTAAGTGCTTCACAAGAGGGAGTTCACTGCAACCATCAGTCAATTAACCCTGAATGCCTGAACCTTAGGTGGGAAAAAGCAAGAATAAACAACTCTCTAAAGGAAACACTATCAAATACAATAAAGCAGAATAAAAAACACACTGGGAAGGGCAGGCACCACCATGCCATCACCCACTGGCATTCAAACTCTTTGCCACTTAAGAAACAGCAAAATTAAGCCCCAAAACACAGCTCTGCCTACTGTAAAAACAAATCAGAACACACCACACCAGCCGTGGAAGGGCAGAAAGCACATTTTGTGGAGAGAACACCTCCCTCTTTGCAGCACTTTAGAAACAAAGCCATGACCAGCGAGGAGCCGGCGACATGAGCACATTCACAGTCACCACAAGTGCCAACCCTCGGTTTCTGAACAGCGACTTCATTTCCTAATCTGTTGGAGGGGGCTGAAAGAAACCAACCAGAAAATAAATACCGACAAATCACAACGTGCCTCACAACCTGGTCCCTGGAACTCCGAAATGAAACCTCGCTGCAGATTGGCTCCTGCCTGCATGTAGGCAGCGGCATGTACCACTGCACAACGCCAAGCTCCACCTCTGCTATGTAAACAATATCCTCAATTTAAACCACCACTTGTGTTTTTGTTAGTCCGATGTAAAGAAATTAAAGGCCCTTTCTAAAGTAACTCCAGTGTTCAGAGCCAGGATGGTACAGGAAGGTGAAGATTTGGGCCTACTCTTAAAGGTAGAGGGTCTAACATCAATGTCATCACCGCAAATAAAAGGGGGTTTTTTAAAGAGAAAAGTCTCACCAATTCTTCATAACTTCTATAATGCTCATTTCCTTGCCAGTCCAACCTTTTGGGAAGCAACTGAATAAAGGAAAAACAAACAGAAAAACCGTGAGCGGTTAAAGGGGAAAGGAGGGACTACAGACCACATCCAAAACAATGTGTGTTGAGGGGAGGGGGAAAAGTTGAGCCAGCGGCAGAAACTTGAATGACTTGCAAAGGAAACTTTTGACTAGAGCAAGATTTCATCAGAGCCCACACAGACCTGGTGCTGCTCCAGCTCCTGCACCAGCACCTGCAGAGGGAAGGGGAAAAACACAGGAGTCAGGGACAAGGCAGGATTCGGCTCCTCCAGAGCGGGGGGCGCGGCTGCTCCCACCTCCCCCCGACCCTCCGCGGGCAGCGCGGGGTGCCCGCGCCCCGCTGAGCCCCGCACTCACCTTCAGCGCTCTCCTGCAGGGCCCGGTGCTCAGGAACCGGGCGATGAGGAAGTAAAGCTCTGTAAGAGACACGGGGGATGAGCCGGGGGGCGGCCGCGACCCATCCCGAGGAGCGGGGTGGGGGGGGCAGGAAGATGGCGGCCCCGGCGGCACCTCCGCACCCCGGCCCGCGGTGTTACCTGATTCAATGAGCGGCAGCGACGCGCCGGAGCTGGAAGAGGCCGCAGGCTCGGCCATGGCGGGCTGAGGGCGGCGGGCCCGGCTCGGCACGGCGCTGTCAGCGCCTCCCCTCCTCCCTCCCTCCCCTCACGGCCGCCCCCCCGCTCCCCTCAGCGCTCCCTCCCTCCCTCTCCCCCCTCAGCGCAGCCTCGGCGGCGCCGCCGCCATCGCCGCCGCACCACCCGCCACGGAGCCGCCGTCGCCACCTCCGCCGGGAGCGCCTGCGGGGGGGCGGCGTAAAATAGTTCCCGCAGTACCGGGCGCTTTGGGCGCGCCGAGGGAACGGCGGCGAAGGCGTGTGGCCGCGGGGAATATACACGAAAGGCAGCGGGGCGGGTGGCGGGGGGGGATGGCGGGGAAGGCGCCGGGTGAGGAGAAGGGGAGGAGGAGGCGCGGAAGGATCGCGCGAGGAAGGCGGCGGTGACGCGGCCGGGGGCGGCGCTGAGCGCGGCAGCGCTGAGGGCGGCGGGGCAGAGGCGGCGGCGCTGCTCCATCGGCCCCGGGAACGGCGGGGCTGCCGCCGCTGCCTCGGCCTTCCTAGCCCGGGACAGCCCTCCCGGGACCCGCAGCGAGGCACAGAGAGCCGGGCCCAGGCGGCGATGCGGTGACGGAGTGGATTTGTGCCGCCAGGGCCTCTGCCTCGAGTGCTGTGTCCGGCTCTGGGCCCCTCACTGCGAGGGGTTGTAGCTTATCCAGAGAATGGAACGGAGCTGGGAAGGGGCTGGAGAGTTCCTGAGGGAGCTGGGAAGGGAATGGAGGGTTCCTGAGGGAGCTGGGAAGGGGCTGGAGAGTTCCTGAGGGAGCTGGGAAGGGGCTGGAGAGTTCCTGAGGGAGCTGGGAAGGGGCTGGAGAATTCCTGAGGGAGCTGGGAAGGGAATGGAGAGTTCCTGAGGGAGCTGGGAAGGGGCTGAGCTGGAGCAAAGGAGGCTCAGGGGGACCTTGTGGCTCTCACAGCTCCTGCCAGGAGGGGACAGCCGGGGGGTCGGGCTCTGCTCCAGGAACAGGGACAGGAGGAGAGGGAACGGCCTCAGGCTGGGCCAGGGCAGGCTCAGCTGGGACATCGGGAGAATTTTTTCGCTGAAAGGTGATTAAACATTAGAATGCACTGCCCGGGGAGGTGTGAAGTCGCCTTTCGTGGAGGAGTTCAAGGAACAACTGGATGTTCTCTGGTTGTTAACAAGGTGTTGATCAGTCAAAGGTTGGAGTGGATGATCTCAGCGCTGTTTCCCAAGCGAAATGATTTTGTGATACTGTGATTCAAAGTGCACTGCCCCGCGTGGTGGCCGGGGTGTGCCATGCCTGCAGAGATTTGGAAGCATCAATGATGTTGGAGCTTAGGGATGGCCCAGCCTCCTGCTGTGACAACAGAGCTCCACATGCTGGGGAGCTGGGGATGCTGGGTGGCACCTGAGCTGCCCCAAACACCAGCCTCGGGAGGGGTATTTCCCACACCACTCAAAAAAATTTGAGCTCTGTCCCCATGCTTGTGCCATCTTGAGCCTGGCTTCTGGAGACAGGATTTTGGGAGCCAGGACATCAACTTGTGAGGAGGCATGAAGATGAGCAGAGGGATGGAGCAGCTCTGCTGGCAGGAAAGGCTGGCACAGCTGGGATTGTTCACCTGCACAGGAGAAGCTTTGGGCTGAGCTCAGGGTGGCCTGGCAGGGCCTGGAGGAGCTGACAAGAAAGGCCTGGAGTGACAGGACAAGGGGAAATGGCTTCAAACTGACAGAGAATGGGCTTAGATGGGATATTGGGAATTATCCCTGGCAGTGCCCAAGGCCAGGTTGGACAGGGCTTGGAGCAGCCTGGGACAGTGGAAGTGTCCTGCCATGGTAGGGGTGGGAAAAATAGGATTTTTAAGATCCCTTCTAACCCAAACCATTCTTAATGTTTTTTCTTTCCCACAGTTGTTTCCCAGCCATGCCCAGCTTGAAGACTGATAAACAGCAGTGGCTGTACTTGTGTTACATTTGAAATCCCATCTCTTTGCCTATTTCATTCCCCACCTCTGGTACCTTAAAATGCATTTTTGGAACCTTGAAGTAAATTACTTTTATGTCTCATCCTCTTAACCCAAACAACTACTAGCAGTATACAAAGACAATAAATTATCTTCCAAGAAACAAATTTTGTTCTCCTGCTATTGTATTTTGAATCAGATTGTGCTCCATTGGATGCAAATCTGCTTCAGCTCTCACTGCAGTCCTCAGCTGAAGAGCAAATAAATCTGATATCACACAGGACAGAGTAAGATCAAGAAGTTACAGTAAATTAAGCAGTGGGTAACAGATGTGAGGGAGATGCTGAAAGTCCACAAGATCCCAGCACCAGAGACACAAAACACGTGAAAAAAAGACATTCTGTAAAAGCAGGGATGAGTGGTTATTTTGGGGGATTTATCTGCAAGTTTATTACTTATTTAACTGGTGTGTTGAGCTTGCCAAAACCAGAGAGTAAATAACATCATGGAGCTAGACTGTGTTACTATTAAATTAAACCAAGAAATATGGTACCTGGAAGGGGATGTTGGGAGGAGTTAGAAAAAGTGGCATCAATTTCCAGTTTTGAAATATCCAAGAACTTGAAGCCAAAGCCAGGTGTGCTCTGTGATGAACAGAACAGGTTGGGAGACTTCCTATACAAAAGATTATTAAAGTATTGAAGAGGTAAACATGGTAAAATTCTTCCTGAAATGAGAATATTGATTAAGAAAGCAAGTTAGTGGTGAAACTAAAGTGGCTTTTTTTTTTACAGATAACTGCAACAATTTGAAAAAGACACTAAAGATGTACAGGAAGCAGCTACTGGGCTTGCAGGTGTTACTTAACAGCATAAACAAGTTCTGGGGTGAGAGGAGAAAAAAAACAACAAAGAACAAACGTTACTGTTTGAGCTTGGCTCCTCCCAGGACAAGGTGACAGTTGTCTGGCTGGCATCTGAGACTTACTCATTATTGACTTTTCTTAAAGCAAACAGCAGCGACACAAAGCTCTCAAAGTGCAAGTTTAGACTAACACTACAATTCTCCACTGCCTGAACTGCCACCCATCTCTTCAAAAGTATTGTTTTAACACTCTGAAGGACACAGTTAAAAATCCAAACCACAGCACTCGGATTGTGAGTTCTCAGTCAATACAGGAGCTATGGAAACATCCTTTCATAATCAAGATTTATTTGGCTTTTGTTTGGTGATCACAAACACTATCAACAATTTTACAATCGTTTTTATCAACAGAGCTTTTTTAAATCTAAAAACTAATTTTGTTTTTTTTTCCTAGCACTATTTCAAATAATTTTCACTCAATCTTTGTAGACAAGCTGTCCTCGAAAACTAGATGTGAAGTCCCAGTATCTCAAAATTGACATAACAAGTTCCAACTGCCAAGCAGAAACTTAAGACAGTATTTAAAGATATAAAATAAAAGTTTCCAATCTTTTGCATCACAGCTACAAATTGTTGGGAAAAAAATAAAGCTGCAACTACCAAAAATAACTTTGTCACTGATAAACATCACTCAGCAAGAAATCCACCACTAGGGAGCAGTTTTATTAGACAAGCAATTCTACTGATGGTACAACCATAGGAAAGATAAATAACTAAAATGTTAAGACATTCTCAACACATCATTATGAATTCCAAAGTCTGATCTGTGTTATGCTTCATTTTATAGGATAGAAAACTGTCCCTTGGAGTCTGTGGAACGTGAGGCTTAATCAAGGCCTCAAAGCCCTCTCTTTAATTAACACACCGTTAATTTCTGGTTTCATAGAAAACAGACAACCAGTACATGACTTTACCACTTAAAAAAAGCATTTACACTTATCTAAATATGTAAAAAAATGGGTTGAGTCGGGATTCTCTCCTTTTTAAAAATGTGTTTTCTAGAACTACTAAAAAACTTGCATTTACAAAATAGTTGATAAAAATATTCCTCTGAATTGTACAAGAAGTAAGGTTTAAGGACCACCAGTTACAGATGTGGGAGCAGGTGTCACTCAGACTTCACTTCTTTCTCTGCAGCTGCATCAGGTGCTGGGGTCTGGAAAGGGAAAAAAAAACCAGAAAATTTCAGCGCAGGAAGTTTTTAATGGTTCTGATTAGTTTGGAGTGGTTTTAATGCACATTAAACCATGCAGAGAATAACCCTGACTTGTTCTTGCAGATTTCTCTTGGATCATGACCTGCCAAACCAAGCTGTGACAAAAAGGCTCCTTGGATCCACCAGGATGCATTTCAGGATGTTGATTTCTTACTAAACAACACTGCAAGGGATTTGCATTGGATGACTGCCTTTACAACTGAAGAAACTTTAGCTTTTACACAGCTTACTACATAGGAGGTGTTTAGAAAATCTATGAGGTAACACTTCATGCCTTTAAATTTCAGTGCCACACTTAAAGTATTTTTCAAATCTTAAGCCTGTTTTAATTCTTAGCAAACAGTAACATCCAACAGGACAGACTGCCTCTGCCTCTTCCAGACTTTGGTATAAAATTACACCTGGATTTTGGGTGGTGTGACCAAGTCATGGTCCATTCCTTGTAAATTTACATAATCTCTGCACCAGTGAACTAAAGGGACCCCAGATGGGAATGCTGCCAAATTTGGTTCCACTGCTGAAATATTACAAGCACAAGCTGAAAGACTGCAATAATGCCAAAAAATTGAGTCAGCTGAAGAACTTGCAGTCAGAGCACAACTTTTTCACACTGCAAGCTTGCAAATGACAGTTACCCCAGAGTAAATCCTCCTGCTCAGCCAAGCACCATCCTGTACCTTCCTTGCCCACCAAATCCCATCATCTACCCAAAACCAAAATATTCCACTGAACTCCTGAAAATGTTTCCATCACAGAAACCTGACAGCAACTGCAGGCCCGTTACCACACTTGTGTTTCATCCCTGCAGATTTTGGCCTCAATTTGTAACTGACTATGTTTGCATTCCAGAAATATAATACAGAGTGGAGGATGCTGTGAGTGACCTGACCAATAATTCCAAAAAGTTCAGCCACTCTGGCACTGAGGTGTAGCCAAGACTCACCTGGCACAGTCACTTCTCCAGCAACAACAACTCATTAATTGTTGTATTTTGTCCCTACACCCACCTGACCCTTCTCCCAGCAGGGTCTGTCAATACCACCTCAACTCTGCCAAAATCAGCTCTGGGTTTTCACTCAAGACTCTTTCCAGACACAAAAAAAAAAAGAGTATTTCACTTGTCAAGAAACTTTGGTAGGGAAAAACCCCTCAAGTTCTCAGTAACAGCAAAACCCAAACCCAGCGCTCCAAACTTCACCTCCTCAGTTTTAGCTTCCCCATTCTCTGCAGGCAGGTTGTCCTTTGTCTGCTCTTGGTTTGTCTCTTCTGTCTGTTTTCCTTTAGGCCCCTTCTTCCCCTTTGATGGAGCTTTCTTGTCCTCAGATTTATCCTAAAATCAAATATATTTCCAGTAAGTCAATTGTTATGAGCTTCCAGGTAGCTCTTGAAAACAATTAAAAACACAAAAAACCAAGATAGATTTGCTAAGCTACCAACAACACCTCATCACCCACTTACCAAATATTTCAGAATTACATAATTGCAACACACTGAATTCTGTACTTTGAATGGTATAATATATTTTTCTTCACTAGTATTTACTTAAAAACCCCACTAAGTCACTCCATAATGAGCAAATTTCACACAACTAGAAAGAATACTGTGAGGGAAGTTTTAAAAACTGACAAAGTTGATGAAAAAAGGTGTTTTTTGATGAATCAAATAAAAAAATTTTGACAGTTAGCTTGAAGTAGTTTTAAGCAGAAAATCAGTATCACACATCACCCAGATCCTTTAGGCTTACAGCCCTGAGAGTGGGAACACAGATACTCAAACCACTGGAATAAAGGTGGATTCCTCATCATTAATGCAAAAAAACCATCAGGAAGTCTGCAAAGATTAAGAGTTTATCTGAAATTAGAGAATCACAGAACAGTTTGGGTTGAAAGGGATCTTAAAGATAATCTCATCCAACCCCCAACACCTCCCACTGTGCCAGGCTGCTCCAGCCCCAGTGTCCAACCTGGCCTTGGGCACTGCCAGGGATCCAGGGGAATCTGGGAATTCCATCCCAGCCCCTGCCCACCCTGCCAGGGAACAATTCCCAATTCCCAATCTCCCATCCAGCCCTGCCCTCTGGTAGTTTGAAGCCATTCCCTGTGTCCTGTCTCTCCATCCCTTGGAAATTATCTCTTTCTTATCAACTCCCTCCAGGTACTGAAATGTCACAATGTCACCCCAAAGCTTTTAGTCAATACATCACAAGAAAAGCTCATGATGACAAAGGAACACTTAACAACACAAACAGCAGCAAGCCAACAGACACAAGGCCATTTTCAATTCTCCCAAAACCCAAAGAATTTTACACCTCGCTTATTTTCACTGTGAAAACTGTGCTGAAAAATTCAAAGATCACACAAACCCACTTTCTTACAAACACCTGAAAGCTTGACCATATGAATAGAACTTCATATGTTTTTTAAGTGGCTAATGCAATTTTTTTCCCTGTCTTAACACACTGCTTTAAAATACTAGTAGGTGTATTTTATCCCCTCTTGTCACATAGGTGAAATACAACACTGTGCACAGAATCATTCATTTTGGAAAAGTCCTCCGAGATACTCCGGTCCAACTTTAACAGAGCACTGCCCTGTCAACCACAGCAGAGCAAACAACATCCCAGCCTATCCTTGGACACGTCCAGGGATGGTGACTGCACCACCTCCCTGGGCAGCTTTTCCAGTGCCTGACCAGCCTTTCTGTGAAGAAATTCCTCCTGATGTCCTAACGCACAGTTGTTTTGACAGTCAGGTAGTTCCACCCAATACCAAAGCACAATGCAACACGCATGGATCCGTGCCCACGCTTCCATGCAATGCCTGGAGCTTAACAAGAATCTACAGCCACCGCGACGGAATGTACCTGTAAATACTGGCAAAAGCAGATCAAAACAAGGCAAGGGAGCGTTCCCACAAGGAACCAAACCATTCCAGCACGGTGCACGGAGGACACCACGCGGGATGCCCCCAAGCACTCCCTTCCCTCTTCCAATTCCCTCTCACCTTTGCCGGTAACTTTTTGGGTTTCGGCTCCGCTTTGGCAGGCGCGGGTTTCTGAGGAGAGAGAACAAGTCAGGCGGGGACCCAGCCCTCGGGGACCCATCCCGGCAGGGCCCCGCCGCTCGGCGCTCACTTACCGCGGAGAGCCGCGCCGACCGCCGCTTGGGCTGCGGGGGGAGACACACGCAGACACAGGGAGAGAAAGAGAAAGAAAGAGAGAGAAAGAGAGAGAGAGAGAGAGAAGGGCGTGAGGGGCGGGCGGGCCGGGGCAGCCCCGCCGCCCTGCCCTCTCCTTACCTCCTCGGGGGCGTCCCCGTCCGCCACCGTCACCTGCAACACACACTCGGCGTCAGCGGGGCGGGGCGGCCCCGGCCCCGGCCGCCCCCTCCCGCTCCGCCA